CCTGGAACATCCTGTCTTTGTCCACCTTGTCTATTCCACGCAGTATTTTATATGTCGTTATCATGTCTCCCCTGACCCTCCTGTCCTCCAGTGTCGTCAGGCCGATTTCCCTTAATCTTTCTTCATAGGACATTCCCCTTAGCTCTGGAACTAACCTTGTCGCAAACCTTTGTACTTTCTCTAGTTTCTTGACGTGCTTTATCAAGTGCGGGTTCCAAACAGGTGCTGCATACTCCAGTATGGGCCTGACATACACGGTGTACAGTGTCTTGAACGATTCCTTACTAAGGTATCGGAATGCTGTTCTCAGGTTTGCCAGGCGCCCATATGCTGCAGCAGTTATCTGGTTGATGTATGCTTCCGGAGACATGCTCGGTGTTATACTCACCCCAAGATCTTTCTCCTTGAGTGAGGTTTGCAGTCTTTGGCCACCTAGCCTATACTCGGTCTGTGGTCTTCTGTGCCCTTCCCCTATCTTCATGACTTTGCATTTGGCAGGATTAAATTCGAGAAGCCATTTGCTGGACCAGGTGTCCAGTCTGTCCAGGTCTCTTTGAAGTCCTGCCTGGTCCTCATCAGATTTAATTCTCCTCATTAACTTCACATTATCTGCAAACAGGGACACTTCTGAGTCTAACCCTTCCATCATGTCGTTCACATATACCAAAAATAGCACTGGTCCTAGGACCGACCCCTGTGGGACCCCGCTCGTCACAGGTGCCCACTGTGATACATCATTACGTACCATGACTCGTTGTTGTCTCCCTGTCAGGTATTCTCTGATCCATTGCAGTGCCCTTCCTGTTATATGCGCCTGATGCTCTAGCTTCAGTATTATGGGAGTCGTTATAATGTACAACATAGGATACATACACCGTGAGGTGTACGTAAGTTAGGTGTATTGCATTAATCTAATTATCCCAGTGTGTATATACTGCGAGTTTATTGTAATCCCAACTTAGGGATTACAATATTCTAGCCTGTTGGCTAACAGGTGACATGTAGCCTTAATGACCCCCGTATACTTGATAGGCTTTAAACCCCATTAACCATTATCAAGGATATAAACACACACACACACGATATTTTATATATATATATATATATATATATATATATATATATATATATATATAAAATATATATATATATAATGTTTATGTATGCATTGTGGTTGGTGTAAGTTGGTATATGAGTGAGCAATATTGCACCGGCTGCTGCGCGGTTCCTACTCTTTCTCTGTGACCAAAATGAACGATAATTTGACCCATTTTTCTGGTATAATTGTCAATATTTTCTCTGGGGCGTTCGTTCCGCTGACTGGTGCTTGTAGACACAGCTGGGATGTGCGTGCGTGTGTGTGTGTGGTGTGTGTGTGTGTGTGTGTGTGTGTGTGTGTGTGTGTGTGTGTGTGTGTGTTGTGTGTTGTGTGTGTGTGTATGTGTGTGTGTGTGTGTGTGTGTGTGTGTGTGGTGTGTGTGTGTGTGTGTGTGTGTGTGTGTGTGTGTGTGTTGTGTTGTGTTGTGTGTTTCAGTCGTTATTTTATTATTATTATTATTATTATTACTATTATTATTATTATTATTATTATTATTATTTCCACCGTTTGTATTATCAATCAGAGTTGAAGAGTTATCGTACCATTGTTGATCTTGGAGTCGTACCTGAGGTTTGCTACTGCCACCCAGGATGCCATCCACAACATTCGACTGATACTTAGGTAGCTGTGAACTGCTAGGTAAACAGGGACAGCAGGCTCAAGAAGACATACCCATATATACTGCATTGCACAGGGTGCCACCTACAACACTATTATTTGTGATGAATGGTTTTGAAAACCGACAAGTTGAAGATTGAGACACTTATGCAACATATGGGAATCTTTATTGAAGAAACGTTTCGCCACACAGTGGTTTCATCAGTCCAATACAAAGTAGAAATGGGTAAGGAGAGGAGGAGTTTGAGGTAATCAGTCCCTCAGCCTGGAATCGATGTGTTCAGTCCACCACTCTTGTAGGAAGTACAGCATAGGGCCAGAGAGGTGGCTTATATACTTGTCGGTTTTCAAAACCATTTATCACATCTGTCAGACACTGCAACATCATGGGATCTTTGTACAAAGACATCTTCAACGCTTGTCCAACCTTTGGACGACGACCTACTTACACTAGTGGAAGGTCCTCCTGCTTCCACTCACCTGACTGCAGTATATAAGCCACCTCTCTGGCCCTATGCTGTACTTCCTACAAGAGTGATGCGCTGAACACATCGATTCCAGGCTGAGGGACTGTTTTCCTCAAGCTCCTCCTCTCCTTACCCATTTCTACTTTGTATTGGACTGATGAAGCCATTGTGTGGCGAAATGTTTCCCATATGTTGCATAAATGTCTCAGTTCTTCAACACACTATTATTGCACCCAGGTACCTGTTTACAACAACTGCCTTACCCATCTCTACTCTCCCAGAATTGATCCAGTATTTTATTTCTTAATATTTGGGTGTTATTTCCACTAGGTCAATCCTCTTGATCTGATACCATACAGTCTGATGTAGTCTAAGACGTAATTATCCAGCAATATTTCACCACAAAATGATCTGATGGCATAATCAAATCTTACACAACTACCTCCATTATAGTCTTATTATAAATTAATACATAATCCTTAAAAAAAAATAATTCTTTACGTGTAGCATAAATATTTATATATGAATCACAGTTTCCCAGGTGGAAAAATGCGCAGGATTCAATGAAATTTTACATTGATCCCATGTTGTGAATTATTACCTGCACTTACTCCAGTAATAATGTTAGTTTTACATGATATTATTTTTTATATAGATAAATTTAGAGGTTAAAGAGCAGTTGTCCTTCCTTATTTCGTTTCAAACCCTGACCCTGTCTGAGAAGTACCACCATCGTTTTTTTTTTCTTGAGATGCCACGCACAAGAGTCGGCTAACACCTAAGCTCCTGTTTACTGTTAGGTGAATAAGGACGGTAGGTGTAAGGAAATAGGCGCAGATCTGCATCTCCCTTAGGTTCGAACTAGGGTTCTTTGGTTGTGATCTCGTATACCTACCACTGATCAGTGAATCAATTATTTCAAGATTCACGAACATTTCGTGAATCTTGATATTCTAAATATTCCCACAATTGATGACATTATTTATAAAATAATGGAACACTTTTTTTCAGTTTAAATCCCTTGTTTTACATAAAAATCATTAAAACAAAGCAGTGTCCTGCATAACACATGACATAACACATAACGTAACACATAACACAACTCATAACATAATACGTGATGTAACACTTGATATACGTTAAAGTTGTCTACATTGTTATTTTCCCCGCCTCATGTGCTGGCAGCTCTGTTAGTGCATAGGACACAGCCACTTTTCGCCACATAAAACACTGCAGAAGGCCTACTGGCTCATACTTGTCAAACCCAAACCCACTAAACAACATTCGCCCAAATCATTATCAGTGTTACCCAAGGAATAAGATTTGATGACCCTTTTAACTCAGCTCTCTCTCAAATCCAACCCCTGTGACTCGTGCATTTTTAATTCAACTCAGCGGCCGTATCCCACTGAAGCAGGGTAACCTTAAAAGAAAAACGAAAGTTTTCTTTTTAAATTTAGTAATGTATACAGGAGAAGGGGTTACTAGCTAGCCTCTTGCTAATTGCCTCTTACGACACGCGTAGCCTACGGAGGAAGAATTCTGTTCCACTTTCCTGTGTATTTATCTAACCTATATTTGAATGCAGACAGCTTTTCTATTGATGGTTTCATAGTTTATTTCCTATAACCCTGGTTGTGTAATGACGAACTGGTGGTGTCGATGGGTCCTGCAAACAACAAGCTTAAAAGTATTATTGTGGCCCGGTGGTCTGGTGGCTAAAGCTCCCGCTTCACACACGGAGGGCCCGGGTTCGATTCCCGGCGGGTGGAAATTCTGACACGTTTCCTTACACCTGTTGTCCTGTTCACCTAGCAGCAAATAGGTACCTGGGTGTTAGTCGACTGGTGTGGGTCGCATCCTGGGGGACAAGATTAAGGACCCCAATGGAAATAAGTTAGACAGTCCTCGATGACGCACTGACTTTCTTGGGTTATCCTGGGTGGCTAACCCTCCGGGGTTAAAAATCCGAACAAAATCTTATCTTATCTTATCTTATCTAGGATTTATGTGTGTGACCCTACTGGTTTTACATGAATCCTAATAATGAGATTTTTTTTCGGAGGATAGGCAACTTACATCGTTCATGGTCACCAGCACATAGGGAATCCTGCTCCTCTCTGTGGAGCTTGCAGTGCTACTGACTGATGGATAGTGTCAAAAATCGCATCCTAGTCTTTATTAATGCCGATTTGGATATGGATTGTGCAATTACTGGTAGTCTTCAGAGACTTCAGTTCCATTTTATAAATAACTTTTAGTGTGGCTGATCATTTGTAGCTTTTAATGAATAGTACTGATTTCATTTACTTATTATTTTTAGGACTGATAGACGTGTGTATCTCTCCGTGTGTATGTGCGTGTGTGCGTCTGTGTGTGTGCGTGTGTGCGTGTGTGCGTGTGTGCGTGTGTGTGTGTGTGTATGTGTGTGTGTGTGTGTGTGTGTGTGTGTGTGTGTGTGTGTGTGTGTGCGTGTGTGTGTTGTGTGTGTGTGTGTTTTATGGGGAATTAAATGGGAGATTTTATATAAAGGTTTGTAATCTTTAACCAAGTCAGTGCTTTAGAAATTCCATAATGTTAATTTCCCTCCCTCTCTGCTTTCCCGTCTCCTTCCCTCCTTCCCTCCCTCCCTCCCTCCGTCCCTCCCTCCCTCCCTCCCTCCCTCCCTCCCTGCTGTCACACACTAAAAAGAAAAACAAAACATCAGTCACAATTATTGTCATCCGTCAAGACTGAGAATGTAAAAACAGTGAAGTCAAGTTGTCTTGCACTACAATGTATAAAAAAAACTATAATATTTATTGTGTGTGTGTCAGCAGGCAGAGTGCCGGTGGTGCTGGTTGCTGGAGGCGTGACGGTGCTGCTGGTCATGGCTGTGGGTCTCTCTTCACTCTTCTTCTGCAATAAGCGACAACCTGAGGGTAAAGGTGAGTCTGCCCTCGCAACCCCACACAGAAAACCTCCTCTGACTAAGTGCTTCCCGTCCACTGTGGCACAGCCACTCTCTCTCTCTCTCCACCAGTTCTGTTCCAGTCTTGGGAATGCGCTAAATCCTGGGAGGTTATGCAGCGTCTAGGTGATGTGAGATAAGGTTTATGCAGCGTCTAGGTGATGTGAGATAAGGTTTATGCAGCGTCTAGATGTGATACAATCAGGGTTATATAGCGTTTAAGAGATGTGATACAATCAGGGTTATATAGCGTTTAAGAGATGTGATACAATCAGGGTTATATAGCGTTTAAGAGATGTGATACAGTCAGGGTTATATAGCGTTTAAGAGATGTGATACAATCAGGGTTATATAGCGTTTAAGAGATGTGATACAATCAGGGTTATATAGCGTTTAAGAGATGTGATACAGTCAGGGTTATATAGCGTTTAAGAGATGTGATACAATCAGGGTTATATAGCGTTTAAGAGATGTGATACAATCAGGGTTATATAGCGTTTAAGAGATGTGATACAATCAGGGTTATATAGCGTTTAAGAGATGTGTTACAATCAGGGTTATATAGCGTTTAAGAGATGTGTTACAATCAGGGTTATATAGCGTTTAAGAGATGTGATACAATCAGGGTTATATAGCGTTTTAAGAGATGTGATACAATCAGGGTTATATAGCGTTTAAGAGATGTGATACAATCAGGGTTATATAGCGTTTAAGAGATGTGATACAATCAGGGTTATATAGCGTTTAAGAGATGTGATACAATCAGGGTTATATAGCGTTTAAGAGATGTGATACAATCAGGGTTATATAGCGTTTAAGAGATGTGATACAATCAGGGTTATATAGCGTTTAAGAGATGTGATACAATCAGGGTTATATAGCGTTTAAGAGATGTGATACAATCAGGGTTATATAGCGTTTAAGAGATGTGATACAATCAGGGTTATATAGCGTTTAAGAGATGTGATACAATCAGGGTTTCACAGCGTCTAAGATGCAAGACAATCATGTTTGATTCAAAGAAGGTGATATCTCCAGTACCATGAATTAGAGAAGACTATGTTTAGGTTGAGTTTAATCTTGTGATTTTTTTGGGGTGGGGGGGGTTCAGGAATGTAAATAACATGGAAGTTTGTGTTCACTTTATTGCTGTCTTGGTGCTGGTGAAGGCTCTTCTTCCTAGGAGTTGGAGCTACCCTCTCCTTCCATGAAATTTTATTACCTTCCATTCTCTGGACCTCTATGGGTTTAGCACTTTCCCATGACTATACCAATAATAATAAATAGGTAATGAGACAACTGCAGTTATATATTTGTTATTATAAAGAATAACATCACTTTGTTATGATAGGTGAAGAAAGGGACGGATAGAAACATAAAGTAAGAGAGAGTGAGAGAGAGAGAGAGAGAGAGAGAGAGTATGTGTGTGAGAGGCAGTGAAAGAGATTAATAAACAAGGTTGGAGGGATTGAAACAATGTTGTCTGTTTATGTTATTGTTTTTTACTGTTAGATATCGTCCCCTTCCTTGGATCAAACCTGATTATCCCCCCCACTTACTAGACGCTGCATGACCCTTGTGGGTTAAGCGCTTCCCCAAAGATTAGAATAATCTTTCACATAATCGTCTTACATAGTCATATACTCCACATTCATTTCCTCAGCTTCCTCTTCCTCATTCTCCTCCTCTTCCTCCTCCTCCACTTCTATCTTTACCTGGAAGAAATAGTGAAGGTGTCAGGGCTAACGAGAGCCTCTAAACAAGGTCGTCCAACTAGTGAGTTGCTTTATGTGTTGGCTAGTTGGTATGGGAGGAGGAGGAGGGATGGAGGGGCGGGAGGCATGGAAGGGGAAGCTAGTGTAACAGTAAGGTGTGGAGGGGTGTATAGAGTGCTGATGGTGTTAGGGAAGGGTAGTGGATAGTGAGGTAGTGTGGGGGTGAGGATGTTGCTGAACGAATGTGAGAGCAGCGAAAGAGATAATCAAAATTTAAATAAATAGTAGGAAAGAACAAGGTATAAAAAATGGTTATTTGTAGACGAAGGAGAGAGCAGTGTGAAGGAGGAGCAGGGAACGTAGGAGCAGAGAGGAGAACCAGTGACAGTAGGAGCAGGAAGGAGGAGCAGCAATAGGGAGAACCAGGAACAGGAGGAGCAGCAGTAGGGAGAACCAGGGACAGTAGGATCAGAGAGGAGGAGAAGCATTAGGGAGAACCAGGGACAGTAGGATCAGAGAGGAGGAGAAGCATTAGGGAGAGAACCAGGGACAGTAGGATCAGAGAGGAGGAGCAGCAGTAGGGAGAACCAGGGACAGTAGGATCAGAGAGGAGGAGAAGCATTAGGGAGAACCAGGGACAGTAGGATCAGAGAGGAGGAGCAGCAGTAGGGAGAACCAGGGACAGTAGGATCAGAGAGGAGGAGCAGCAGTAGGGAGAACCAGGGACAGTAGGATCAGAGAGGAGGAGAAGCATTAGGGAGAACCAGGGACAGTAGGATCAGAGAGGAGGAGCAGCAGTAGGGAGAACCAGGGACAGTAGGATCAGGAGGAGGAGCAGCAGTAGGGAGAACCAGGGACAGTAGGATCAGAGAGGAGGAGCAGCAGTAGGGAGAACCAGGGACAGTAGGATCAGAGAGGAGGAGCAGCAGTAGGGAGAACCAGGGACAGTAGGATCAGAGAGGAGGAGCAGCAATAGGGAGAACCAGGAACAGGAGGAGCAGCAGTAGGGAGAACCAGGGACAGTAGGATCAGAGAGGAGGAGCAGCAGTAGGGAGAACCAGGGACAGTAGGATCAGAGAGGAGGAGAAGCATTAGGGAGAACAGGGACAGTAGGATCAGAGAGGAGGAGCAGCAGTAGGGAGAACCAGGGACAGTAGGATCAGAGAGGAGGAGCAGCAGTAGGGAGAACCAGGGACAGTAGGATCAGAGAGGAGGAGCAGCAGTAGGGAGAACCAGGGACAGTAGGATCAGAGAGGAGCAGCAGCAGTGAGGAGAACCAGGGACAGTAGGATCAGAGAGGAGGAGCAGCAATAGGGAGAACCAGGAACAGGAGGAGCAGCAGTAGGGAGAACCAGGGACAGTAGGATCAGAGAGGAGGAGAAGCATTAGGGAGAACCAGGGACAGTAGGATCAGAGAGGAGGAGCAGCAGTAGGGAGAACCAGGGACAGTAGGAATCAGAGAGGAGGAGAAGCATTAGGGAGAACCAGGGACAGTAGGATCAGAGAGGAGGAGCAGCAGTAGGGAGAACCAGGGACAGTAGGATCAGAGAGGAGGAGCAGCAGTAGGGAGAACCAGGGACAGTAGGATCAGAGAGGAGGAGCAGCAGTAGGGGAGAACCAGGGACAGTAGGATCAGAGAGGAGGAGCAGCAGTAGGGAGAACCAGGGACAGTAGGATCAGAGAGGAGGAGCAGCAGTAGGGAGAACCAGGGACAGTAGGATCAGAGAGGAGGAGCAGCATTAGGGAGAAACCAGGGACAGTAGGATCAGAGAGGAGGAGCGAGCAGCAGTAGGGGAACCAGGGACAGTAGGATCAGAGAGGAGGAGCAGCAGTAGGGAGAACCAGGGACAGTAGGATCAGAGAGGAGGAGCAGCAGTAGGGAGAACCAGGGACAGTAGGATCAGGAGAGGAGGAGCAGCAGTAGGGAGAACCAGGGACAGTAGGATCAGAGAGGAGGAGCAGCAGTAGGGAGAACCAGGGACAGTAGGATCAGAGAGGAGGAGCAGCAGTAGGGAGAACCAGGGACAGTAGGATCAGAGAGGAGGAGCAGCAGTAGGGAGAACCAGGGACAGTAGGATCAGAGAGGAGGAGCAGCATTAGGGAGAACCAGGGACAGTAGGATCAGAGAGGAGGAGCAGCAGTAGGGAGAACCAGGACAGTAGGATCAGAGAGAAGGAGCAGCAGTAGGGAGAACCAGGGACAGTAGGATCAGGAGAGGAGGAGCAGCATTAGGGAGAACCAGGGACAGTAGGATCAGAGAGGAGGAGCAGCAGTAGGGAGAACCAGGGACAGTAGGATCAGAGAGAAGGAGCAGCATTAGGGAGAACCAGGGACAGTAGGATCAGAGAGGAGGAGCAGCAGTAGGGAAACCAGGGACAGTAGGATCAGAGAGGAGGAGCAGCAGTAGGGAGAACCAGGGACAGTAGGATCAGAGAGAAGGAGCAGCAGTAGGGAGAACCAGGGACAGTAGGATCAGAGAGGAGGAGCAGCAGTAGGGAGAACCAGGGACAGTAGGATCAGAGAGGAGGAGCAGCATTAGGGAGAACCAGGGACAGTAGGATCAGAGAGGAGGAGCAGCAGTAGGGAGAACCAGGGACAGTAGGATCAGAGAGGAGGAGCAGCTTAGGGAGAACCAGGGACAGTAGGATCAGAGAGGAGGAGCAGCAGTAGGGAGAACCAGGGACAGTAGGATCAGAGAGGAGGAGCAGCAGTAGGGAGAACCAGGGACAGTAGGATCAGGAGAGGAGGAGCAGCAGTAGGGAGAACCAGGGACAGTAGGATCAGAGAGGAGGAGCAGCAGTAGGGAGAACCAGGGACAGTAGGATCAGAGAGGAGGAGCAGCAGTAGGGAGAACCAGGGACAGTAGGATCAGAGAGGAGGAGCAGCAGTAGGTGAGAACCAGGGACAGTAGGATCAGAGAGAAGGAGCAGCAGTAGGGAGAACCAGGGACAGTAGGATCAGAGAGAAGGAACATCATAAATATACATTATGTGGATAAGTCCCAACATTTTTTCAAAGCATTTAAAAAGGCAACATGAAAAAATCTAAAATGCCGATAACTAAAACCATTATCACTATTCCAAAGTTGGTAATCATAACCAGGTAACCTTCAACATACCTCACTTCCACAGATGCTTAATTACTTTAATTACAACATCAGCAGGCATGCGTGAGCGTGTTTGATAGGAGTGAATGGAGACAAATGGTTTTTAATACTTGACGTGCTGTTGGAGTGTGAGCAAAGTAACATTTATGAAGGGGTTCAGGGAAACCGGCAGTCCGGACTTGAGTCCTGGAGATGGGAAGTACAGTGCCTGCACTCTGAAGGAGGGGTGTTAATGTTGCAGTTTAAAAACTGTAGTGTAAAGCACCCTTCTGGCAAGACAGTGATGGAGTGAATGATGGTGAAAGTTTTTCTTTTTCGGGCCACCCTGCCTTGGTGGGAATCGGCCGGTGTGATAATAAAAAAAAATAAAAATCAGTATGCAATTTAAAAATCAAAGGTGGGAGGATGTTCCCTTGTTCATAATACAATCATCGATTTTTCCACACAATTCTTGCCTCCTGGTTTCTTAAATAATGCACAAAAGAAAATATATAACATCAATAAGCATATGTCTTAAATAAATTGGTCGACCATAATAAATGTCTCAGGGCCATGAAAGCTGCAAATAATTTCCTTTCTTCACGTAAAGATTAATAGTTTCTCTCAGTACCAAACATCAGCCAAAAGTATGATCCCTTTTAATATGTCCAGCAAATGAATTTCAGATAATTTCAGTAAATAAGATATAACAGGTATTTAATTATTAATTTAAATAAAAAATATATAACAGGTCCTTAATTATTAATTTCAATAAATAAGATATCATAAGAGGTTCTTAATTATTAATTTCAATAAATAAGATATCATAAGAGGTTCTTAATTATTAATTTCAATAAGATATCATAACAGGTCTGTAATTATTAATTTCAATCAATAAAATATAACAGGTCCATAATTAGCTGATTCGAAAGAGTTACTTTTAGTGTCTTTAACTTTGTAATAATTAAATTTATGTTTCTCAAGAAAACATTGTGAATTTTAACCAAAGAAATTATATTCTACCATATAAAGTGTTTTTATAGCTACAAAAAAATATATCAGTGAAAAATTGTAAGATCTCGGCGTTGCTTGTACCATCAACAATATTTGAATTCTTGATTATGTTCTTTTATTGCTTTATCTTCGTCCAGAATGACCATATATCTTTGTTTCTATATTTTGCTTCAGTAGATAATGATCTTTCACTGATTTCATTTTTTTTCTACACAAAGCTAGCTATAGTAGTAGTGGCGGTGGTGGTGGTGGTAGTAGTAGTAGTAGTAGTGGTAGTAGTAATGGTAGTATTAATGGCGGTAGTAGTAGTGGTGGTGGTGGTGGTAGTAGTAGTAGTCAATCAATATACTTTATTTTTTAATAAATACAGTATAATATAAACACACATTACATATACCCACATAAATAAAATACTGATACATTATGCATGTCTCAGTTACTATTATCTAAATAAACTTATTTTTACTTGCTTCATAATTTTATAACCCTTTTATTATAGATTTTATTACATCCAAAATAATTTTTCAAAAATTCATTCATTATGTATCTCTGAAGAGCTGGGATATATACAGAAAATTATGTCCCCCTTTTACTAAAAAAATTAATAATGCAGTGTTCTTATAGATAAATAATTTACAGTACTCACCTTGTAATACAGCAACATAATATTTGAATAAAAACATATTGCATAATTGTACGTCATTATGACTGTTACTATAAGTGGGTAACCCCATTATTTTTCAAAGCATGTAAAGACTCATTAATAATGTTAAAGTATCTATAACAACTGTATAACCACACTAGTTCTTGGCTCATGGATTTGTAGGAGCAGGGAGGAGAAGCAGGAAGAAGGAGCAGGGAGGAGAAGCAAGAAGAAGGCAGGAGGAAGAGGAGAGGCAGGGAGGAGAAGCAGAGAAGAGAGAGGAGCAGGGAGAGAAGAAGGAGCAGGGAGGAGAAGCACGAAGAAGGAGCAGGGAGGAGAAGCACGAAGAAGGAGCAGGAGGAGTAGGAGGAGAAGGAGCAGGGAGGAGAAGCAGGAAGAAGGAGCAGGGAGGAGAAGCAGGAAGAAGGAGCAGGGAGGAGTAGGAGGAAGAAGGAGCAGGGAGGAGAAGCAGGAAGAAGGAGCAGGGAGGAGAAGCAGGAAGAAGGAGCAGGAGGGAAGCGGAGAAGGAGCAGGGAGAGAGCAGAAGAAGGAGCAGGGAGGAGAAGACACGAAGAAGGAGCAGGAGGAAGGAGAGAGGAAGAAGCAGGAAGAAGGAGCGGAGGAGAGCAGAAGGAGAGGAGGAGAAGCCAGAAGAAGGAGCAGGGGGGAGGAGAGCAAGCAGAAGAAGGAGAGGGAGGAGAAGCACGAAGAAGGAGCAGGGAGGAGAAGCAGGAAGAAGGAGCAGGGAGGAGAAGCAGGAAGAAGGAGCAGGGAGGAGAAGCAGAAGAAGGAGCAGGAGAGGAGAAGCAGGAAGAAGGAGCAGGGAGGAGAAGCAGAAGAAGGAGCAGGGAGGAGAGCACGAAGAAAGGAGCAGGGAGGAGAAGCAGAAGAAGGGCAGGGAGGAGAAGCAGGAAGAAGGAGCAGGGAGGAGAAGCAGGAAGAAGGAGCAGGGAGGAGTAAGAGGGAGAAGGAGCAGAGGAGAGAAGCAGGAAGAGAGGAGCAAGGAGTAGGAGAAAAGAGCAGAAGAAGGAGCAGGGAGGAGAAGCAGAAGAAGGAGCAGGGAGGAGTAGAGGAGAAGCAGGAAGAAGGGCAGGAAGGAGAAGCAGGAAAGAAGGAGCAGGTAGGAGAGGAGAAGCAGGAAGAAGGAGCAGGGAGGAGTAAGAAGAGGAAGAAGGAGCAGGGAGGAGTAAAGACAACGAAAAAGGAGCAGGAGGAGTAGGAGGGAAGCAGAAGAAGGAGCAGGGAGGAGTAGGAAGGAAAGGAGCAGGGAGAGAAGCAGGAAGAGGAGCAGGGAGGAGAGAAGCAGGAAGAAGGAGCAGGGAGGAGTAGGAGGGAGAAGCAGGAAGAAGGAGCAGGGAGGAGTAGGAAGAACAAGCAGGAAAAAGGAGCAGGGAGGAGTAGGAGGGAGAAGCAGGAAGAAGGAAACAGGGAGGAGTAGGAGAAAGCAGGAAAAAGGGGCAGGGAGGAGTAAAGGGGGAAGCAGGAAAAAGGAGCAGGGAGGAGGGAGGAGGGAGAAGCAGGAAGAAGGAGCAGGGAGGAGTAGGAAGAACAAGCAGGAAAAAGGAGCAGGGAGGAGTAGGAAGGAGAAGCAGGAAGAAGGAGCAGGGAGGAGTAGGAAGGAGAAGCAGGAAGAAGGAGCAGGGAGGAGTATGAGGGAGAAGCTGGGAGGAGTACGAAGAAGGAACAGGAAGAAGGAGCAGGGAGGAGTAGGAAGAACAAGCAGGGAAGAGTAGGAAGGAGAAGCAGGAAGTAGCAGGGAGGAATAGGAAGGACAAGCAGGAAGGAGGAGCAGGAAGGAGTACGAAGAACAAGCAGGAAGAAGGAGAAGCAGGAAGGAGTATGAAGGAGAAGCAGGAAGGAGCAGGGAGTAGTAGGAAGGAGGAGCAGGGAGGAGTAGGAAGAACAAGCAGGGAAGAGTAAGAAGGAGAAGCAGGAAGAAGGAGCAGGGAGGAGGGGAAGCAGGGTGAAAGTGGGTAAGGTATATATACTGTAATTACAAGAGGGAAGGGGATTATTATTAGGTATCCCCGAGGGACTGTCTGATAGTGGTTGCCTGTATTTCTGTATTTTTTTCTTCAAAGAGCTGGAGGTGCACTTTCTTTCCTCGGATCAAAGCTAATTTCCTCCTATATCACAGGCGCTGTGTGACCCCTGCTGGTTTAACGCCTCTTAGCAAGAAAAATGTTACTTATTTTCTGTATTTCAGGAGATATTGAAGTGTAATGAAGGAAGATGTTGGCAGTGATGAAGGAAGATGTTGGCAGTGATGAAGGAAGATGTTGGCAGTGATGAAGGAAGATGTTGGCAGTGATGAAGGAAGATGTTGGCAGTGATGAAGGAAGATGTTGGCAGTGATGAAGGAAGATGTTGGCAGTGATGAAGGAAGATGTTGGCAGTGATGAAGGAAGATGTTGGCAGTGATGAAGGAAGATGTTGGCAGTGATGAAGGAAGATGTGGCAGTTGATGAAGGAAGATTTTGGCAGTGATGAAGGAAGATGTTGGCAGTGATGAAGGAAGATGTTTGGCAGTGATGAAGGAAGATTTTGGCAGTGATGAAGGAAGATGTTGGCAGTGATGAAGGAAGATGTTGGCAGTGATGAAGGAAGATTTTGGCAGTGATGAAGGAAGATGTTGGCAGTGATGAAGGAAGATGTGGCAGTGATGAAGGAAGATTTTGCAGTGATGAAGGAAGATGTTGGCAGTGATGAAGGAAGATTTTGGCAGTGATGAAGGAAGATGTTGGCAGTGATGAAGGAAGATGTTGGCAGTGATGAAGGAAGATTTTGGCAGTGATGAAGGAAGATGTTGGCAGTGATGAAGGAAGATGTTGGCAGTGATGAAGGAAGATTTTGGCAGTGATGAAGGAAGATGTGCTGTGCAGTGATGAAGGAAGATGCTGGCATTGATGAAGGAAGATGTTGGCAGTGATGAAGGAAGATGCTGGCATTGATGAAGGAAGATGTTGGCAGTGATGAAGGAAGATGTTGGCAGTACTCAACAATCAATAAAAAATAATGAGAAATACCAAATTATCCAGTTATCCTAAATCCCCATCGTTTCAAAGGTTACTGAAAAAAAAACCCGCTTCAAATCGCCCTCGGATGTGGAAATATACACGAGAAATAAGTTTTCTAATGTGTTCGTATGATGTATTATAATGTGAGAGGCGCTAAACCCGCGTGGGTCATGACAAGAAGTGGTGTAGGGCTCGATCAAAGAAGGAACACTGCAGCAGCCTACTTGATCCACGAGGCATCTCATTGGTCTGTTGACATGCCAAGTTACTTGCACATTGCCGTTTTAATACCCATATGGATTTAGCGTTTGTTTATAATAATAAATAATAATAATAATAATAAATGGGTAATACCACCATCTTGCTAACATCGACGTAAATACAATTAAAAATATTTAGTATTAAGATATTTAATTCTGAAATTGATTATTTAACAATTTAAATAGTTTTAAGATATTTGATATTTAATTCCCAATTTAAAGAGTGTTCAGATGTTCAAAATTTAATTTTTGAAATTGATTACTTGAGCAATAAATCGTACCCAAAACCTTTCATGCCGGAAAATGCTCGTTTTCCATTTCCAAAAATCTAGGTGTTACCTCAGTGGAGGTTCCATGACGCTGGTGACTGGCTTTTGATTCAAGGAATTGGATCAATGCTCCCTTTCCTTGGACCGAACCTAATTACTTCCGATTTGCCCCCAATCCTCCATACCTCCCGTGTTAACACGTCGCTTCACGTGTGAAAAAAAAGAAGACAGACTGTATACAGCACAAGCTTTGATTAACACAAACGTTTCGCTCCGGCACAAACAGAAACGTTGTCCCGATGTAAGTTTTTGGTTGGTCGGTTAGTTTATTAAGTTTAAAGTCTATCCACTATCCACCTAACCAAGCATACTTTAATACCTAAAATGAAGAGTAAAGCTAAGCTCTCAGTGTATATACTCAGATATGCACATCTGTGTATATACACAGACATACACCTCATACCCTGGTGTATATACTCGAACATACTTAAGTTCCTTTGTAAATAGTGTACAGTTATTCTTATGTTTGCATATTTTGATGTCAAACATTTATATACATATATATATATATATACATATAAACACACGACATTATGTAGATCAATATATTTTTAATATTAGGATGTTTACGGTTGATCAATACGCTTATTTTTTGCTGGAATATGCGGTGTATTGTTCATTCTTCTGCGTATTTCTGTGAATGTCGTAGTTAATGATACACGCTGTATGATGTTAGTTTAGGGTGCAGCCTATCGACTACACGTGGGTTATTACTGCTACAACTCTACACTAACATTAAGAGTATTTTAAATCCTAACATAGGGAATTTGGATATGTACGCTGAAACATATTTATATATATATATATATATATATTATATATATATATATATATATATATATATATATATATATATATATATATTATATATATACTGAGGTGTGTATACACAGATAAACCTCTTGATGTATATATACATACACACTTAGCAGTGTATAAACACAGATACACCTCTTAGTGTATATGCATTTAGAGATACACACTTCTTAGTGAACGTACATAGATACATTTCTTGGTGTATCTATGTACGTACATAGACACACCTCTTGATGTATACACACTGAGATACTCACTCAGTAAGTAGATTATCCTCCGAAATTGTTACCATTGTATATGTAAATATTGTTTCCTTTTGTTATAAGGAATAGTAAAGTGAAATTTATACTGTGTTCAATCATTATCCCCAAATATATTCATTTTCATATTAAATAGACAGGGATAGATGATGTCATTGTAGTGAGTGTAAGAATCCTAGACATATGGGTGTAAGAAACCCAGACAGTGTAGTGGGTGTAAAAAGCCTAGACAATGTGGTGGGTGTAAGGAACCTAGACTAGTGGGTGTAAGAAACCTAGACTAGTGGGTGTAAGAAATCTAGACGTAGTGGGTGTAAGAATCCTAGACGTAGTGGGTGTAAGAATCCTAGACTAGTGGGTATAAGAATTCTAGACGTAGTGGGTGTAAGAATCCTAGACGTAGTGGATGTAAGAATCATAGACATAGTGGGTGTAAGAATCCTAGACGTAGTGGGTGTAAGAATCCTAGACAGTGTAGTGGGTGTAAGAAACCCAGGCTGTTGTGGGTGTAAGAAGCTTAGTGTAGTAGGTGTAAGAATCCTAAACAGTGTAATGGGTGTAAGAAACCCAGACTAGTGGGTGTAAGAGGCCCAGACTAGTGGGTGTAAGAAACCCAGACTAGTGGGTGTAAGAAACCCAGACTAGTGTATTGGGAGTAAGAAACACAGACTGTAGTGGGTGTAAGAAGCCTAGACTTTAGTGGGTAAGAAGCTTTGACTACAGTGGGTAAGCCCCTCAAGGAAGGTTCCTTGATGTTGGTGAGGGGCTCTTGATTTAGGAAATTGGATCTGTGCTCCAGTTCCCCGAATTAAGCCTGAATGCCTTCCACATCCCCCCAGGCGCTGTATAATCCTCCGGGTTTAGCCCCTCAAGGAAGGTTCCTTGATGTTGGTGAGGGGCTCTTGATTTAGGGAATTGGAACTGTGCTCCAGTTCCCCGAATTAAGCCTGAATGCCTTCCACATATCCCCCCCCCAGGCGCTGTATAATCCTCCGGGTTTAGCGCTTCCCCCTTGATTATAATAATAATAATCCGGGTTTAGCGCTTCTTTATAATAATAATACAGTGGGTAAGAAGCCTTGACTAGTGGGTGTAAGAAGCCTAGACAGTGCAGTGGGTGTAAGAAGCCTAGAGAGTGCAGTGGGTGTAAGAAGCCTAGACAGTGCAGTGGGTGTAAGAAGGCTAGACAGTAGTGGGTGTAAAAACCCACACAGTGTAAGAAGCCTAAGGGAGGAAAGACTGGAAGATTAAATCACCACCTTGTCGCAGGTGAAGGATTCCTCGAGGAAATCTGACTTTTCATCATTCCTCGGACCAAGTGCAAGTACGTATCTCATTCCTCGTCTGCTGTGGCCCTTGCGGGTTTAGTATCCCCGATTCTAATATAGTTGGGAATGAAGATTGATAAGAAAATGATTTGAACATTTGTAGTATCAAACATGATCCTTTAAGGTGATGTCTTGATGCTGGTGAACGGCTCTTGTTCCAAGGAATTAGACCTATCTTACCCTTGGATCTGATTCCCCAGACGCTGTTTCACCCCATTGGGTATAATGGACTGTTGAGGGTCGCATCCTGAGACTGCATCAAAGGACTTTTTTTTTTTGACTGCTAATTTTATTGACTTTTTACCCCTCAAAAAAGGTGCCTAAATCCCGGTAAAGTGCTCTTGATTCAGGGAATTTGATATACCTCTTATGACCTCTACGGGTTTATCACTTCCTCGTGAAAATTATCTCCCAAATTAAAGCAATCTTCAAATATTAAAACGTCCTTCCAAAGAACTAGCGGAAGTAAGCCAGTGGCTGGCTTTCTTGGGTTTATCCTGGGTTACTAACCATCCGGGTAAATAATCTTGTTATCTTGGGTCAAATTACATATTCTACGTTAATTATGTATTTTTTGTGTCGTGTGTAGTTACAGTTCTATGTATGGAATTTTATTAAGAAATGACTTCGTGTCTGGTCGCTTTGTTATGATTATAATAATCATAAATTTGTGTAGTGACTCAAGTAGAAGCAGCCTCAGTTCGCACACTGACGAGTCTGGGGTTCAAGTGGTCATGTTTCCCTTCACCTGTCGCCCCTACTAGCCTAGTAAATAGGTACCTGGGTGTGGGTTGCATCCTGGGGGAGAGGATTAAAGGAACTAATGGAAATAAGCCATACAATACTTGATAAGAACCCAACTTTATCGGGTTATCCTGGGTTACCGAATGAGAATATTATTTGTAAATAAATGAGGCTACCACCTAAATTTTGTTTTCTTTTACTGGAAACTGAAGTTTTCTATGATAAAAGGTGAACTTCCCTAAATATTTATTGTTGGTATTACTTATATTGTTATTGTTCTCACTGGAAGATCTAAACCCATAGGGTATCTGACCACCTGGAAAATGTGAGGTAATCAGGTAGGGCGAGGATAGGGATCAAGGATCTGGGATCAAGAGCCCATCTCAGGCATCATGGCATGTGTATAGCGACTAAATGTCACTCTTTAAGAGGCGTAATTATTGTCGACACTAACATAATAATAATTCCTAAAAATACAAAATAAACAAGTGTCTTCGCCCGGCAGCCGGGTAATAACCAATTAATTAAAGGTTATTTACACGGGAGCCGGGTAATAACCAGTTAATTAAAGGTTATTTACACGGCAGCCGGGTAATAACCAATTAATTAAAGGTTATTTACACGGCAGCCGGGTAATAACCAATTAATTAAAGGTTATTTACACGGCAGCCGGGTAATAACCAATTAATTAAAGGTTATTTACACGGCAGCGGGTAATAACCAATTAATTAAAGGTTATTTACACGGCAGCCGGGTAATAACCAATTAATTAAAGGTTATTTACACGGCAGCCGGGTAATAACCAATTAAAGGTTATTTACACGGCAGCCGGGTAATAACCATTAATTAAGGTTATTTACACGGCAGCCGGGTAATAACCAATTAATTAAAGGTTATTTACACGGCAGCCGGGTAATAACCAATTAATTAAAGGTTACACGGCAGCCGGGTAATAACCAGTTAAAGGTTATTTACACGGCAGCCGGGTAATAACCAATTAATTAAAGGTTATTTACAAGGCAGCCGGGTAATAACCAATTAATTTAAGGTTATTTACAAGGCAGCCGGGTAATAACCAATTAATTAAAGGTTATTTACAAGGCAGCCGGGTAATAACCAATTAAAAGGTTATTTACAGGCAGCCGGGTAATAACCAATTAATTAAAGGTTATTTACAAGGCAGCCGGGTAATAACCAATTAATTAAAGGTTATTTACAAGGCAGCCGGGTAATAACCAATTAATTAAAGGTTATTTACAAGGCAGCCGGGTAATAACCAATTAATTAAAGGTTATTTACAAGGCAGCCGGGTAATAACCAATTAAAGGTTATTTACAAGGCAGCCGGGTAATAACCAATAATTAAAGGTTATTTACAGGCAGCCGGGTAATAACCAATTAATTAAAGGTTATTTACAGGCAGCCGGGTAATAACCATTAATTAAAGGTTATTTACAAGGCAGCCGGGTAATAACCAATTAATTAAAGGTTATTTACACGGCAGCCGGGTAATAACCAATTAATTAAAGGTTATTTACAAGGCAGCCGGGTAATAACCAATTAATTAAAGGTTATTTACAAGGCAGCCGGGTAATAACCATTAATTAAAGGTTATTTACAGGCAGCCGGGTAATAACCAATTAATTAAAGGTTATTTACAAGGCAGCCGGGTAATAACCAATTAATTAAAGGTTATTTACAAGGCAGCCGGGTAATAACCAATTAAAGGTTATTTACAAGGCAGCCGGGTAATAACCAATTAATTAAAGGTTATTTACAAGGCAGCCGGGTAATAACCAATTAATTAAAGGTTATTTACAAGGCAGCCGGGTAATAACCAATTAATTAAAGGTTATTTACAAGGCAGCCGGGTAATAATCAATTAATTAAAGGTTATTTACAAGGCAGCCGGGTAATAACCAATTAATAAGGTTATTTACAAGGCAGCCGGGTAATAACCAATTTATTAACAGGTTGATTTACACGGCAGCCGGGTAATAACCAGTTAATTAAAGGTTATTTACAAGGCAGCCGGGTAATAACCAATTAAAGGTTATTTACAAGGCAGCCGGGTAGTGACCAGCTGATTGCTTACTTTGATTTATAAACATTATTATTATTGAATGTTTTAATATTATGCTTACTATTATTGTTTATTATTATCATTGTATAATTTATTATTGCACACCATTATTATTATAGAAAACGCTAAACCTGTAAGGGTCGTGCAATTTTTAGGAATGAGTGGTAATCAGGGACATGTGAAGCAATTTAAACTTTGTCAGTGATAATTTACTGTAACAATTAAACTTTTTTTCTATTGAATGAATTATGAATTTTCCTCTTTATTGGGTTACCATATTTTGGTGGGAGCAGCGCTGTATGACTCTTGCGGGTTTAGCACCTAGTTTTGACTGTAAATAACTGGTGGGAGGTCAGTGGTCAAAATAAGATTATAATTGAATGTTGGTGGTGAGGCAGTCAGCGGGACGCCTCGCGGAGGACGACCAGTGGAGTCTTCGCTGACATTTTTCCTCCAATTTTGGACGGTTTTCTTGCCTGTGCGACATACGATTCATTCTCGAATTAGTGAGAAGCTGAGGTGAAGTCTGCCATGAAGAGTTAAGTGTGGTAGCACCAGCGTTGAGGAAGAAATAGCGGGAAATGATGCAACCAGACATCTGCAGGCAAGTTATGTGGCGGCGGCCATCTTGGTGTTCCTTGATGGTGCTGGGCTCTTGATCCAAGGTACTGCACTTCTCTCCTTCCCTCTTCCTTAGATCCAGCCTTGTTGCCCCATTTTCTTAGAGAGCTGTATGAACTCTACGAGTTTAGCGTTTCCCCCTTTTATATAAAACTGAGGCGCCTGACACCATTGAAATTTATGTAAATGTATGTATCCCTTCCATTGAATGGCACGAGGCTGGTGCAGGGCTCTTGATCCAAGGCACTGGAGCTACCCTTAATTCAAACATGATGCCTCCTTCCCCACCCCTAGGCACTATGATCCCTGCGGATTTAGCGCTTTTCCATGAAGAAGATACCTATCTAGGTATCTTGATCCAAGGAATGTGACACTGGGATCGAACCTGATTGTCCAGCATTTCTCTAGTGACTTGAATAATGCAGCACTTTAGGAAGGTTGAACCATTCAGACAAATTTTATAACTTAAGGGTTTAGCGCTAAGTTATGATTATAAAAATAATTCAAAGACAAGCTAAGATAAGCTAGCAGTCAAGAGAATGTTATAAAAGCGCTAAATCTGTAGGGGTGATACAGCGCCTGGGAAATGAGAATAAGGTTTTATTAGGGAAATGGTGAGTATATTTTAATTGGATCAAGAGCCCTCACATCAAGGTAACCTCCCTTGAGAGTTAATAACATGGACACTTTCACAACGTGTTCCTCATGTCAACATGAACGTATTAGGACATGAGGTTACCTGAATATATCGGGTCAGCGCCCCTGCGGCCCGGTCCCAGAGTAGGTCTACGTTTTTCTGCAAATGAGGTTTTCTTCAATTTAATGACCTCTCATTTAGAGCTGATCTCAGATTCCTTGGATCAGATCGTATTACCTGCAATTTCCAAGGTTGTGTATGACCCTTCGAGGGAGGTGCTTTCAGTCTGATGAAGGGCTTTTGATCCGAAGAATTGGAGCTATCCTCCCGTTACAGGGACCGAATCTCATTCCCTCCCATTCTCAAGGCAGTGTATGGCCCCGTTGCGTTTAGCACTTCTTAATACTAGTTTCGCCGGTTAAGTGAGATATGGAGCCGTTTTTTGTAATTGTTTATTTGTGGTTAAATATATTTATAGGTTTAAGTAATGTTATCTAACCCAACCAAGTGAATATCTCTCGAGGGAGGTATTTACTTGGCTGGGAATTGGTCTTGTTCTCCCATTCGATCCTAATTATAGTACCTCCATTTTCCAGGTACTGTATGACCCTTATTATAATAACGAGTGAAAATATAGCTTTAAGCAAGGTCTTGTAGCTAGTCTTGGTCTTGTAGCTGTAGGTGAGTGGCGGAGAGTGGGTGGAGTGTAGACAGTGGGTGACGGAGAGTGGGTGGTGTGTAGATTTTATCTAGTAGGAGTCTTCGCAGACTAGAGGATTTTATTCAAGAAGGGATGGGAAGGTGCCTTGATGCTGGTGTGAAGCCCTTGATCCAAGAAATTCGAGCAACTTCCTTTGGTCAGGTTTGATTTTCCTGCCATTCCCCGGGCGCTGTATGACCCCTACGGGTTTAGCACTTATAAGTAATAATAACTTCCTCAACCCCTCATTACATTCTTAAAGCAGGAAACTGGCAGTGAAACACTCGCTATTATTCTGACGTTTAATTTTGTAAATATCCTAAAATGGCGATGATAATTGCATCAGATATATACAAAGCAATAATTTGTGCAATAAAAATCTTTATTGTTATATTTTTCACGTTACAAATCAGTATAAAATGAAAATATCTCTCTTTATGACGTCACATATAACTAGATGCTAACAGCCTGTTTACAACAGAACCAGTCAACTAGTGGATTGTTGTAAACAAGAAACAAACTAAACAAACATGATATGGAATGACTACTTGATAATTCAGTGTTTTTTCTTTTTTTTTTTTTTGATTAGGATGGCGGATAGCTCATCAGCTGATCAATGACGTCATTAAATCTGTCCACGACGTCAGGAGAGCTCGGCACTGATTCCAACCAATCAGAGAGCCCAAGACCAGAAGGTGAATTACCCGATGAGAATATTAATGTAAGTATGCAGGCATTTATATATACGTGCATATATACATCATCTTAAGACATATTCATTATGTATAATGGTCCAATTAACCGAAGGATATGTAAGAGGAGCGAACATCATAACAGCAACTGTCTAAAGGGAATTTATGATACAAATTGTTGGTTAATACGCACGCGAGAATGCTTATTGAGGAAAAAGTCGAGATGATGACAGCAGGTGAGGTATGTTGAGGGAGGGGAGAGGAAAATAAAATAAGCAATGTCAAGCCAGATCCAGGAGACATAAGCTAGTGCAGAAAAAAAATTCAGACCCAGTAGGCTAATGTAACACTTGTATATCCCGATATTTTTTCAATGTATCATTATAGAGACTCGTATTAGACGCTTGACCAAGACAGAAATTCGAACTGTTTACACTTGACAGCCTTGTTGCTTAAAGCTTAATTGCTATATTAATAGAGTACTATAAACCGCCTCTCTAAATTTGGGAGTGGATGTATGGTAACCTGTAGTTGAAAAACACAGTGCCGGTGGGTGGAAAGCAGTGTCGAATAGAATAAGGCAATCAGAACAGAGCAAGCGTTAAGACAAATTTTCGCTCTGAGTGAAGCTCTTCCTTAATACATGCTTGCTCTAGTAACAGTGGAAATCTTTGGCATGTGTGCCTATTACCCGATTTTTAAAATCTATAAAGTAAATTGTGCCTCGTTAAAATCAATTATCCAATGACAGTCATACCGATGTTATAACCAAGCCAAGCCACGGAGAGCTAAACGAGATACACAAGAGTCGAGCTAGGCTCAGTTGAGCCAAGCTAGGCCGAGTGGGTCCAAGCTAGCATCGAGAAAGCCAAGTCGCCCCAGTAGCAAGTCAAGGCTGGAGGGTCAAGTCATTTACATAATAGCGTCCCAGAAATTGTGGCTATATAAAGGTTATTAAGCAGAAGATTGGCGTTGCACTTGTCACTTAATTACGAGGAAAGAACTAAGGCACACATCAGAGAATGTGTTTCTTGATCATTTCCTGCAGTGTTAATGTAAAGGTACAAACGTGAATAAAATTTATGACATCGTGTTTGGTAGCTGGCGTAAGGAAACAATACTAGCTGGTAACGCAAAGAGCTGGAGTAACACAGCTTTCTTGACAATGTAGTGCAGAACTCAATAACTTGTGATATTTCGGACACTTTTCACTGATCACCTCCAGTGCTGACGGACCTTGACATAGGATAACGAGGACCTGGGCAGTGTTCTGAGGATGTTTAGACTTAGTTTTGATTGTAATAATGACGTGGGAATAACGAGGGAGAAATAAAACTCTACACAATTGATAGAAGAGAGGAGCGGAACAGATGAGTTTTTAAAGGAAATATGGGATGAGGAATCACAAAAATAGGAAAAAATAATTTGTCTCTCAGCTTGTTCTCGTCTTCCTTTAGTACGACTCCTTCACCTGCCCCACCTGGCACCAGGCGATCAAGCTCTAAACCTCTGGGTCATTTATTATTTTGATTAGTAGTGGTAATAATAATTAAGCATATCGTAGTTCTATTCATCGTTAATTTCTGTACATGTGGGTTTATTTGTGCCATTGGCTTGTACTGGGTCTAGGTCCTGGGGGTGTGAGGAATGATGAGGTAGGGTTGAATTCTGGGATTGGGATGGATAGTGAAGCAGAGGTTACGTGAAGAAAAGGCGCATTGCAAAGCAAGCTACTATTGGGACAGCGTTTTGAAACGTTCTGTGCAGAGTTTTATTTTATTCCTGACTTGATAAAGCTCTACACAGCAAAATGGTATCCCTGTAAAAGCTTCTTCTGTAACGTGTCTTTTTTTTCACTATTATGGGCAGTACGCCATTTTGACACTGAGTTTGGGTGCTGGGTTAATGAGGAACGATGAGGCAGAGGTAGCGCTTCGTATGTATATGAATAAGACAATTGAACAATATAATAAAGGATTGTAGAGAGTGAGTCTAAGGGCGCTCCAGGCCCCAGCTCAGTATTAACATCTTAAAGATTGGAGTTTAACATCACAAAATAGGATATGTGTTTTCCACATAAATTTATATATATGTTTTATACATTTTTAATAATATTAAAATTATTCATTTCCAATTTAACTAAATCCTAGTCGACTATGAAAATAATATGAATGTAGGGGGGGGGGAGGGCGGGGATGGGGCAAGGATCTCCTTTGTCATCTAATTGCGAAGTCCACAAGTCAACGGTCATGAGGTAGGCTGTGGGCTCCCTACCCACCGTGACATCCCTTGATATTCTAACCAGATAATTAACATAAGCTTTAGGTAAGGTTTTGTTAAATTAGCCAATCAGCATTTTAATGTTGAGGATTTGTTAGATTTTGTGCGTTAGGTTTGTGAGAAGGTTACAAGGATGAAAAGACGAGCCTCATTCCTGCCCTGACGTGAAGCTGAAAACCGCCCGCCCGAGCCAAACACTTATTTACTACTAAGTCACAATAACCAACTCACAACGAGAGAAATAAACCTGAAGGGGAACTCAGCTTTTTATATAACACCAAGACGTCAACACACTTAACTTTATACGGAAGAAATAACTACATAAAAATAGAAAATGTTTCTTTGCGTATCCATGAGATATGTACAAAAGTATGCTCCAGTTTAGGCTGTTTCTTAAATTCTTCGTGATTTTTTTATATATATGGCACTAATTCCCAAGTAGATTTTATATGAAAACTTCGATTGTGAGATCGAGTCCATAAGCATATTAGGCTAAATAGAAGCATACTGTATTCATTATGATAGTGTCTGTACTCTTAGTTTAACTTGTTTAATACCTAGCCCCTGAAATTTGCCTTTTTCAAGTATTTGAGTGCTAAATGCTGAGTAAATGATAATAAATGATGTATTTTTTTTTACTTTTGTATGAATATTTGCGTTAAGATCCTTCGTCTCCTGTTGTTAATAAAACAGCCTTGTCTGTGCTGCCTCTGATGACTTCTAAATCACCAGTCACCCGTTATATGTATATATAAATATGTATTTTATACATCATGCAAATATTGCCTTCTAATGAAATTTGAAATCTGTCCAATTTGAAAAACCAATTTTTTCTTTTATCTATAACTATGACTTCCCTCGATCATCAGTTTCTTCTATATATATCAACTAAAACTTCCCTGTTCTTTTTTCTTGACTAATTTTCTGTTTTCACCCCTTCCCTAGACCTAAAATGGTTTTCGTGCCTTTATTTCTATTTTTTATTCTTGCTAATCCTACCACTACCTCTGTAATTTCTCCCAACACCACCACTATCACAAATTCCAACAGTACGACCTATGTCACTTCTTTCAGCACAGCCGCTCACAAATCCCACTTGTTTCAAAATACCTCCACTGCTACTATTGTCATAAATCCTGTCATCGCCACCATTGTCATTTCTCCCACCTCCAACCTTATTATCTCTGCACTAACACCCACCTCCAACTTATACATACGCGTGAACTACCGACACCAACTTCAGCAACCCTGAAATACTGTCCGCTAATAACTAACATCTCTGCAACAACACCCACTTCCGTCTCAGCACCTCCGCACGAACTGCCGCCACCATCTTTAACACCTCTGAAAGAACACCTGTCAGTCTCAACACCTCCATGAGAATACATGCCACCAGATACAACGTTACATCTCACCTGGAACACCTGTCACTAACCTAAACACCTCCGGTGAACACCCACTAACAACTTCAACACCTCCATATGAGTACCCACCATCAATATCCAAATGGCAACTTGCATTTCTTCAGCGAAAAAAAAATATATAAAACGAAACGAGTACGAATGTGAAGCTTCGCTTCTCGGGATATCGACACTTCACCACACTGAGCACTTCTTCTTCGGGTTCATCCTACTTCCAACAGGGCAGTTGTAGGACCTCGCGAAGTCCTCGGAGTTTGAGAGGGGGCCCAGGACTCTGATGGGTCCTAGGGAGTGCACCGAGGAGCGGATCTTGGAAAGAGCGTCTTCTGGGCGCATGGTGCCGCACCAGATCCTAGCGTAGTTGAGGAAGAAGAGTTGGTCGTGGTTAAGTTGCATTCCCGGCAGCAACTTTTCCTCTCCGTTCCTCTTCACCCACTGTCGGTACGCCTGCCAAGGGAGGAAAGAAAATTAGCACTACACTGCCTCGGGTTTAACTCTTCTCCATGAGTAAGAATAACAAATGCTCTCACTCTTCTTTGTCCTGACACTGTTACACACTTGTTGAGGCTTCTACATATTGGCATATGTACTCGTGTATCTGACTCATAATCCTGAGACTAAAATTAGTATTCCCTCAGGTTTAACGCTTTTTGATTATAATAATATTCCCTCAAGTAGGGCTCCAGATCCAAGGAACTGAACTTGTCCTTCCCTTCTTTGGATCAAACCTAAATGCCTCCCATTCCTCAGGCGCTTTCCCCCCTTCCCCAGTTACAATAAATAATATAAATAATAATCAGCAAGTCGACATATTGTAATAACACAAGTTGTGGTTTCAGACGACTAGGTAAATTATTATACCTCTGGATACCTTATTTTACTATATACATTCTTAGAATACTAGATACTTGCTTATTTTACTATATACATTCTTAGAATAATAGGTACCTCCTTATTCTAGATATGTGCTCATACAATTGGGTATGCCTTTATACAGGATCCTAGATACGTCCTTGCATGCTGGCTTTGTTCTGATCCCACTACACATTAAATTGTTATTGGTCTGTCAATACTACGAGATACATCTTAGTGCTGATATACTTATCATGATGCGCTATTGTCACATGAGACCTACCCTATTCCTCTGTATGACCTAGTATGCGTTCCTACGACCCTTGACCTACTTTGTACCTCTATGACCTTTTCACTTACCATCTACCTGTGACCTATCTTGCACTTCTCTACAGCCTTTGACCTACTTTGTTCCTCGATGACCTTTAACCTACCTTATACATTTTGCATGACCTTGACCTACCTTGTACTTCTATGACCTTTGACCTACCTTATACCTCTGTATGACCCTTGACCTACCCTGTACGCCTGTTTTATGCCACCATTGTCAGCAATATTTTCCCCTTGGGTCATGCGACCATTGATGTACTGGTTGACCTGCTCGACCTTGTACCCCGCATACTGGTCGATGATGCACTGGGCGCGATCTCTGCGGGAGAGAGGTGCACGATTAGACTCTTTTAATGATTTCTTCTCGCTGATAGGCCTTTCAGGATTCATATATGTGAATCATAACATAGCAGTTATAATGTATGAGCTATATCATTATTACATGTAATCCATATCTATTACGGTAAATCTTACCATTATTACGTGTAAACTATATCATTCTTACATGTAAGGCATTAAATGTTTCCTTCATCTGCACTATCTTATATACTCTTGACTTGAACTCTGAATGCTGCAGCGGGGATGTCTTGCCTGAGAATCAGTGTGTGGTGTGAAGCAGAAAATAAGGAGAAATAAAATGACTTGTGTTGATATGTTAGATGTAATTCTAGAAGTAGAAGGCTTGTCGTTAAGAGTGGTCATTTAGAAAGGATGGAGCAAGATAGGTTGACAAGCAGGTTGTATAAATCGGTTGGGGAGGGGATTGTAAGCTGTGACAGCACAGGAAGCAACCTAGTTTTATAACTGGACAAACATAAGGTAAGATCCTACAGTATGCACTGCCCTGGCACACGTAAGCCACCTTTTATATTCCGTTATTACCAGAGAATTGTTCGTAAATGTATGTTAAATACGCTGTACTAACCTAATCTAACCGAGAATAAATATTTTAATTTATATTTTAATCTGGGAGTGCAAACAAAAGATACCTGCGCAAGTTAATGCTTCATCACTGACGCTATGATTTATATTTTGGCCAATAAAGTTATTAATTTTTACATTCTAGTTGATGCTGGGGAAGAGTTTTTGATTTAAGGAATTACATCTACTGCCCTCTTCCTTACATCAAACCTGACATTTACTTTTCATTTCCCAAGCACTGTAGGAGCCCTAGAAATTTAGTTGTTTCCTATGACTATAATTATTAAAGCTTCTCCGTTATACATAGCACTGAAATAATACACAAGGAATTAGAAAGGTTTGTCTCACCTAAAAGCCTGAATGGTACGGTTGTTCCACCACTGTTTGAGGTTACCCTCCTTGTCAAACTGTCGACCCTTGTCGTCGAAGCCGTGGGTCATCTCGTGTCCAATAACAACACCAATGCCACCATAGTTGAGGGACTTGGGAAGGTGCTGAGAGTAGAAGAGTGGCTGCAGGATCCCCGCTGGGAAAACTGTGGAAGAGACATCTTAGACTTGTGCACACCAACCACCATTTTATTTGTTAAGAAATGTATACAGTTTTATTAGTAAAGAAAAGGTGCTTTCCTGGCAAAGAATATTGCGTTCCTTATTTAAAGATTAGGGTGCTCAATATATATATATATATTTATTTTTAAGGAGATTCCTTAATGCCAGTCAACGACTTCAGTGAATTCTTGGTGGGTTTAGTGATTAGCTTTGATTGTAGTAATAATAATAATAATACGAAGAAAGAAGAATAATTCTTTTTTCTTGGATCAAACCTGATAACCTATCATTTCAGAAACAACAGTCCCTTACGGGATTAGCGCTTCCTTATGGATATACAGTAATAATATTGAGTGTAGGATCATTGACCAGTGTAGTCATGTCATGACCACACATGTACCTATTACTCTCAGAGTTTATTAATAACTGGGTAGTGTGACGTATTAGTGACACTTGATCCTTTTCTCAATACTTATTAATTGCTAATGTAAATACATAAATAATATAAATGCATTTTATTACTTTGTGTAAGAGCATGTAGATTATTATTATGGGGAGCGCTAAATCCGTAGGGATTATACAGCGCCTGTGGGGGGAGGGGGGAACGGAAGGCATTCAGGCTTAATTCATGGAATTGTAGAACAGATCAATTTCCCTAGATCAAGATCCTCTCACCAGCATCAACGAACACCTCTTGAGGGGACAAGCACGTAGAAAGACTCTCTCTCCGAGTGTTTTAAGCTTCACTGTTAGCTAAAAATACGCTTTACACTGCTGCTAACGCCACCACGGTGCCACATATTAATTATTCATGCGTGTCTACCTTTCTCTCACTAAAAATAGTTTTAAATTTTGGTGTATGTACCAGCATGAGAAGACTTGTGAATTGGAAAAATGTTCATTTTTCTCGTTTTCAACTGGTCAAGTCTCCTGACCAGCAAGATGGTGGTTCGATCCTCGATTTATTTTTTGTGGTTAAATGGGTGATTAATTTAATGTATCAAAATTAAATTATAAATGCAGATTACGTTTTGGCAAGGTTGGTACTCACCTATACTATTAAAGTTAGGGTTATTTTGGCAAGGTTGGTACTCGCCTATACTATTAAAGTTAGGTTTATTTTGGCAAGGTTGGTACTCACCTATACTATTTATTTTGGCAAGGTTGGTACTCACCTATATCATTAAAGTTAGGGTTGTAGAAAGCGTTGAGAACAGCCGGTGCGGTGGACCACTTGGCTTTGTTGACATCCTCCCGCAGGCGACCCAAGTTCTTGTTGGCGTCGTACTTCAGCCAGTTGAAGACATTCTGTAAGTGCTGGTTCTCCACGATGGTCAGCTGCGAGAGAGAACCTCGTGTTACGTCATGTGTGACACAATACAGATAGGGAAATTATCTGCCTCTCTTTTAGTATACGGAGGATCGAGCCTTCCCCACTACTTGAGCCGAATGACCGTCACTGGTTTATTCTTTGCCATAATAATAATAATAATAATAATAATAATATAATGTATACCTGACTTATAACAAAGTTATTGCTCTTTATCTGTTAGAAAAACGTGTGTGCTAGTATTTTTTTTATTAATTTTACCAATATCGATACGTGTATTTATTTTTATTTCCAAGATGGCTGAGTAATAAATTACATCAGAGAACTCTTCAAATCTCAAAACTTCCATCTTGTCCGAGTACGAATTTTGTCTCAAACATTTTTGCAGCCATATGTGTTATACTAGGGTGATTGTTACGAATTTTGACAATGGTTACCGCTAACAACTATTTCACAGGAGTGTGTATCTACCAGCAATTTATTTTGCTTCTTGAGTAACATGGAAAGAATATAGAGGATTTTACTAATAAATATTACCACGATGAATGACGTACTCACTCGTTGACTCACGGATTTACCGTGTTTTCCTGCATATAAGACTCCTTTTTTCCTTACATAGTCTTGGAAAGTCACCTACGCCTCATATGCTCTAGGCTTTGATATACTTTACCATTTGTTTACTGACGTTACGTTACACTGCTTGGAAATATCGTCTTATATGTCTCATATGATCGTGCGCCTTATATGCCGGAAAATACGGTATTCAGTAATCGACTTACTCTCCCACTCACATTCTGGTATTCCTTGGCCAGTTCATCTGGCTTGGTTAGCATCTCCGGGTAGCCTATCTTTTCGTTCATAGCGTTGGCCTTCTCGCGAGCTACGGCTCTCGTCTCGTCATCCATCCAGTCGTTCTCCTCCAGTAGGTCGGAGAAGGCGGACCTCAGGGTGTGGATCATCTCCAGCGCCGTCTCCTGCAACCACACCCTCAGTTAGGCACGCAGTAAGGTCAGAGAAATCGAATTGAGATTCATAAATTAATGAAAATCGAGAGTACAATTATTGCGAATAACAGTAGATAAGAAGAATAACCTAAGGTATAGACGAGGATTCCTATTCGTGAGCTGTATATACTCAAATGACATTATAGGGAATGAATATCAAAACATCCATGACTGTTGGTATACTGGTGACATGTAACATTAATGATTATATTGTAGTAAATTTATTAGTCTTAAAGCTACTACCTCACCTTGCTTTCTGGATTGAAATTTTCTTTGATGAAGAGTGCCCCTACAGCCATACCCAGTCGCTTGTTGGTCCAGTCGATGCAGAGATTCCAGCGGTTCCTGTCAGACTGGATGCCCAGAAGCACCTTCTGAAACTCGTGTCTGCTGGCGCGGTAGGCCCGGCTCAGGTGGGGAGTCATGTCCAGAATCAGCCGCCACAACACGTAGTTCCACAACACTCTGAGGGAGGACACCACCTTTGAGGGAGGATAACAGTGTGCTGGAGGACAACAGTGTGAGAGAGGAAACCTACCTTAACAGGTCGTTGTCGCCACTCAGTATTCAGTATTAATGATGGTGACGTTCTCTTGATGCAAGAAATTGGTTGTATATACCCCTTCCCCTTTTGAAACTTGATTACCCCTATTCTCCAGGTGCTGTGGCTCCATACCTCCATACATTAATACCACTACACGGTCCCACCCATGACCGAAACGTCGAGTTTCCCTTCAAGCCCTTTAAGTATTCCCTTCAAGCATCTTCCCTTCTGGCATTAACCAGGTACTTCTTGACTTACAGATATAGCATTTCCTTATAATTTTAATAGCTAATTACCCTTTCCCGTCGGCTATGTATGACTCGTAGATGTTTAATGATTATTTTTAACGACTATAATAATAATAATAATAATAATGTCTTTACCCTGCCTACCTTTTGTCAGTCTCAACCATGATCTTAGCGAGACACTTGAGGTAAGGCATGGAGTACACGACAATGGGCTCCTCCGGCGTGAGTTTCTCCTTCAGGAAGGCTGACAGGTAGTCCGACCACGCGAACTCCGGCACTTCTTCTTGCAACTGCGCCAAACTCAATTTGACGTACGTACTTCCGGTGTCGTGGCGGTCTGCTTCCGGCAGCGTCGCCTGCAGTCGGTAATTGTGCATTTGTTTAGGTTTGCGTTTTCTGAGGTTGCTATTTGATTATGTTATTGGTGGGGGGGTTGAGGTTGTTTGGTTGCTTACTGAGGTTTAAAGTTTATTTACTCTAGTAAAGTCATTGAAGTTGTATGTAGTCGTTTTACCACAATTCAAGAATACTTTAATTCTTAAAATAGGGATTTAAAGTTAAATTTCTGCATATATGCGCCGAGAGAAATATACCTCTGTGTATATACCCTGTGGGGAGTTAGCTGTTTTTAAGGGTAGTTAGATATTATGGTGAGGGTTGTGGATAAGTGCCGTGGGGAGAGTTGTGGGAATGGACAGGTGTTGTGTGGGTTGTAAGGTGTTTGGGTTTGCTGTTATATGAAGGTGTTGCTGCAGGAATGGTTAGAGTTTGTGGGGGTGTTATAGGAGGGGAAGTGTTTTTGGAGGGGTGTGCTTGGTGGGTGGATATATATACTAGGTTTCGTAATTGCAGGTCACTGAGGGTGTTAGTTTAAAGGCGAATGAATTTGTTATTTATATGATATCTTTGGAGAGAGAGACAGAGAGGAGAGGTTGGGGACAATGATTAAAACTCACGTTAGCGAAGCGTGTTTAAAGCAAAACATCGTCAAATTACTTATATGCTGCTATTCAGTCTGCTCCAGGAGTCTGCACGTCTGTCATAACCTAGGAAACACATCATACTCATCACATTCTAAACCCCTCACTACATCATTTCATATCTCCCGATCTCATACTCAGTTCATCTCCCAGACCTCACATTCATTTACTAATATTGATCTAACCATACTATATCTTTAAGGTTCACTTTAACTCCTCAAGCTCATTTCTTAGCTACAATTACACATTCTCATATATATTATATTTATATTTAATTAAATCTAATATTTATGTATGATGTATATTATATATATATATATATATATATAATATATAATATATATATATATATATATATATATATATATAATATATATATATATATATATATATATGCATATATATCAGATATATAATTTCTATATTGTTTTAGGTTACCAAATGCAAGGTATTTTTACGTGAAATTTAATTTCTAGAAATGTTTATCACAAAATTAAATAATGATAACTGAAATATGTGAAATATAATATTTGTTCACCCATGACTTTTGTAGTGAACTTATGTCACTGTGTTTTTTGTTTCTTGTTAACACCTGACAGCATTTCAGTATATATATATATATATATATATATATATATATATATATATATATATATATATATATATATATATATATATATATATATATATATATATATATATATTATATAAAATTACCTGTGCGGCTGTCCTCCGCCACGTCAGGTTATCCAAAAGAATAAAGCACAGTTACCATCATTCGTTCAGTCGCTCTTTCCAGAAATGTGTTGACATTATAATTCAGATTACCCTCCGACTTCAACATCTCCACAGGCACTGTCTTTCCCACTTCCAGGACTCAAGTCATGTTAACTGGTTTCTCTGAATCCCTTCATAAAAGTTGCTTTGCTCACACTCCAACAGCACGGCTATTAAAAGCCATTTATTACCATTCCTATCCAACACGCTCGCACATGTATATATATTCACGCTCATCTCTCACATTCAGACGAGATCTTCCCAGGTCAACATCAGATGATGGGAGTCTGAAGAACGTACTTGAGGTATGCGTCGAGGGCGGGGCGCGACGAATTGGTCCTCAGAAAGTAGTCTCGGCTGGACAGTCCCAGTACCATCTGGTCTAGCTGGAAGAAAGGACAGGATGTCATTACGTGTTATTGTACAGGTTATTATACAAGTCTTGCCAGGTATTGTCACAAAATTTTTAAAGACTACGATAATGATTGTAAAACTACGGAACGGGTGGTGTTTGAACCAATGGCAGCTGGCCCAGTTCGTAAACCACTGGGCCAGCTGGCTACAATAAGATTCATCCACTAGGTATATTTTTGTACACCATAGGAAGTTAGCATGGGTCCTCCACTGGGACCACAGATGAATCTTCAGCCAGCGTGGGAGTATACCTGGAGAGGGTTTTGGGGGTCAACGCCCCCGCGGCCTGGCCTGAGACCAGGCCTCTTGGTGGATCAGGGTGTGATCAACCAGGCTGTTACTGCTGGCCGCACGTAAACCGACGTAAGAACCACAGTTCGACTGATCAGGTACTAACTTTGGGAGATTCATCAGTGAAAACCTAGTGTCGTGAGTCACCGGGAACACCAGGTAGTTAAGCCCTGACCACTGATCGTGACTATCAGGTTCTACACAAGTCTTCTGTAATGGTACACTGTTTTATATCAGTAAAATACATAACAAAAGTAGTCACGATCATTGTTACATTTATTTTTAATAGATTAGATTTTAGTTTTTGCCACCGAAGCGGCTAGTCTATTGTGCACTCCATATCCATTCCGTGGATGGTAGCGCAAGAGCATATGGATACACAAAAGACCTAGGAACTAGGCCCCAAAAGGGCAAACAGGTGTACATCTGGATTTATGTCTACAGTTCACTTATCTGTTAATGTAGATATAATAGAGCTCCAGAAGCTGGGTTTTGATTGTAATAATATGTACGATTCATTCTGGGTACCAGTATTACGCAAGACTCACTGCAAGAGTAGTGACGCATTTCAAGAGTAATACTACAAGCAAAGCTTTATAAGAAATTACCATTAAGGAAATTATATTTCTCAGTAATGTTAAGTCCATTCTTTAATGTAATTAATTAATGAAACTCTGGTGAAGGTCGAAGTTCCTTCGATTGTAGGAACTGGTCCCCTCGAGGGAGGTTCCTTGACGGCGGTGAGGAGGGGAGAACTCTTGACTTAGGCCTACCCTCCTCTTGGATCGAACTTAATTACATCTCATTTTCTTATGCCTTTTATGACCCCCTTCCCTTTTGCATTTGGTATCCCCGTGAATATAATAATAATAACAATAATAATATGAGTAATGAAATTAATAATGCAACTGAGTCAGCTTGTGGGCCCTGAGGAAGTGTCCAGTTCTCTTGGCATTGGCTCACTCCACCTCAAGTGCACACTTAAGGTTGTAATGTGAGAAGTGTTGTGGCTCGCTGCTGCAACATTAGAGCGGCCAGCTGACCCTCAATTGAAACAACACCGCAAAAGAATGGCAAAGAATCTTATTACCTAACAGAGGCGTTCGAATGTACTGATCAGCGACTATGTCCAGGTAACCTGGGAACACGGCCTGTTACGTAGTACCCTGAAGGGAACAGCGCTCTGTTACCCATACGGTTTTGGCGCCTGTTTTTAATAGAAAAATAACAGTCTGGATGAGGTACCCAAATATTTCAGGAGGCCAAAGAGAGTACAGAAATTGAGTTCATACATTGTCATTAATGAATGTTTATTACCTGTATGACTAAAGGATGTTTCTCACCTGTATGATTAAGGGATGTTTCTCACCTACATAACTAAAAGAAATTACTCTCCCGTGTGACTGAGAAGGTTCTCCCTTGTATAGGATTTCTTCGTAAGATTAAAGGAGGTTTCTCACCTGTATGACGTTGACGGAGGAATTCTTGTCGTCGGGTCCCACCCACTGGTCGATTAGGATGCCTTGGTTGAGATCTCCACGAAGCCTCCCAATCAGGGTCTCCACGGAGAAGTTTGGCACCGTCCAGTTCGGCGTCGTCACCGGCCAGCCTCCCAGGGAGACCAGAACCTCAGATAAGGGACCGTCTCCCGTTGCCTCGATCTGGCCTGCAGAGATGGTGAATTTTCTGAGCAGTTCTCTCGGTCCTAACACTTCACAACTGACGTAGCGTTGAGAGGAATATTTTTAAGCGACGTTTCGGTCTATCCTGGATAGTTATCATGTCTCATTGTCGTAGCAGATTTCCTTTTCAGTTTGTACCTAAACTTTTTCATGGCTAACACAATGTATAACAAATCATGATCATTAAAATTTACAGTATGATAAATTACCAGATGTTATGTAAGACGTGTTTAGAATGTTCAGATGAATGTGTTGAACATCCCAAACACATACAACATTTGGTGATTTGTCGTACTGTAAATTTAGGTTATCATGATTTGTTATGGCATAAATTGTCAGGTGATACATTAATGAATACAAAACAATCAAGAATCACCATCTGTTACACTGCTCTCCACCACACGATCCATACACAACTCTTAGCTTTGTTAGTCTTCCCTGCAGTCAATATATTCTACTCAACAGAACACAACAGCAACCCAGTTTAGATAAGATATGCATTACCACAAAGGTCTGTTAACTTACCCTCCCCACCTCGAAAGAAATGTATCGCACACCAGTTATAACACACCAGTATCTGCCACACTAGATGGAAAATACAGATGAGTGCCACACTCTCCATAAATGACAAACCAGATTTAGCATCGTACCCCTCCCCCGCCGCACATCTCAGACGTCCCCTACGACCCTTCCTAACCAGTTTCATTTCTTACATGCAAACATAGCTAAGTTTTGCTTCTTTTGATGTAATTACATTATAGAAAGAGGTAGCAGAACACTGTTGATGTATCAGTTTTCTGAGGGAAAAATAACTTCTGCATCAACTTACTGCTGTTCATATAAACTTACTCGTATTTATGCAAACTTACCGCCATTTATACAAACTTACCGCCATTTATACAAACTTACCGCCATTTATACAAACTTACCGCCATTTATACAAACTTACCGCCATTTATACAAACTTACCGCCATTAATACAAACTTACCGCCATTTATACAAACTTACCGCCATTTATACAAACTTACCCCCATTTATACAAACTTACGCCTTTTTACAAACTACCGCCATTTATACAAACTTACCGCCATTTATACAAACTTACCGGGCCTTTTATACAAACTTACCGGCATTTATACAAACTTACCGCCATTTATACAAACTTACCGCCATTTATACAAACTTACCGCCATTTATACAAACTTACCGGCATTCATACATACTGGTATTCACACAAACTTACTGGTATTCATGCAAGCAGAGTAGAAGAGCTTGGCTTTCTTGGTGGCGTCACCCTCCACAGGACTCACCGGCATCTCTAACAACCCTGTTGGTAGATTGTTCAGTTAGTTATACGTCTTGGGAAGGTTCTGTGGTTACACTTCTTTAAGAGCCTGAATGGTTAGTTACAATTTTTGAAACTGTTACTCTTCTTATGATGGTTGTGTGGTTGGATATTGGTCTTGGTTGAATGAGTACATATACTGATTGCAGAGAACCGCTTATAATGGGGTTTCAGTGATTCTTTTTTAAATTTTGTACATGATACTGCCCTTTGTATGTTTGAAACCTCTGTCTACCTCAGTGAGACGCTGTCTACTTCAATGATCCACTGTCTGCCTAAATGATCCGCTGTCTACCTGACGGTACCTACCTCTGAGGATCTTCTGGAGCTGGTCAGCCATGACCTCGAAGGTGTTGATAGAGGCTCGGTCTTCAGGGATGATGTGCTTCTTGTTCCACATGCCACAGGCGTACTGGAAGAAGTCATTACACGGGTCTGCAGTCTGATCCATTGCCGCCAGTAAGGATGCAGCTGTCCACACAAGATACTGTTAAGCTCTTGTTTTTAATATAATAATAACAGCAATAATAACAATAATAATACCGTGAGCCTTCTTCCCAAGCTCTGTCTAATGCATTTTTTGTAAATGCGATTAATTAAGTATATCCAAAATTGAATAGCACGTGGAAAGGCCTCATTAACATGTGTTTTTTTTCAGTTTTGGATCAGCTTTTCAATCGCATTTACAAATAAACTATAGAGGAGCTTTAAGAGAGCTAAATGAAATAATAATAATAATAATAATAATAATAATAATAATAATAATAATAATGATAATAATAATAATGACTAATAATAAAAGTAATAAAATGCATTAATAATAATAATATGAGCGTCTTGGGTTAGTTATTATTCGTTTGACCCTCGTCGTACCGGAGATGGGATCGTTATCCAAGGCACTGGAGCTGTTGTATCTTGGCCATCATGTGATCAAACCTGATTGACTCGCACTCCCCAGGCGCGGTATGACCCCTACGGACTTGACGGTCCTCCGTGAATGTAATATTGGATAACGTGGGTGAATTGAGGACCATGTCAAAGCTACTCTGATGAGTTGGAAAAAGCACATGAGAGTGGATAAAGTAGTGATGATGTAGATAGGGAAGTGATGATGTACATAGGGAAGTGATGTTAATGTAGATAGGGAAGTGAGGTTAATGTAGATTGTGAAGTGATAGTGATGTTTATGCAGAGTATTTCGGGCAAATTAGGCTAATTTTGTCCCAGGATGTGACCCACACCAGTCGACTAATACCCAGGTACCTATTTACTGCTAGGTGAACAGGGACAGCAGGTGTCTTAAGTAAACCCGCCCATACTAACCCGGAAATTCCCCTCTCCCTCTCCACCACTCATCTACAAAGGTATAGCAGATATATTTCATTGATCATTTCATATACATGACAAAGATCATCTTGGTCTTTCATTGCGAAAGAATTGTTTGAGACTTAATCCTGGAGCCAGAGTTAGTGGAGGCAAGTGTTACGACTTGACGTGCTGTTGGAGTGTGAGCAAGGTAACATATTATGAAGGGATTCAGGGAAAACTGGTTAGCCTGACTCGAGTCCTGGAGGTGGTAAGTACAGTGCCTGCACTATGATGAGACATGTTCCGAGACTAGCGTGAGCAAAGTTCCAAGGTCAGGTTGCAATGTTTACCAAGTTTTGAAGAGATCAGGTGAATATCGCTTACATTAGGTCGGTAATTACTCCTTACCTATAAACTCGTTCTTAGTGTAAATTTATTTCTTAACCTTCAAACATTATACAGGAGACAGTAATCGGTTTCTAATATTTATACGAAGATAATTGACAAGAATAATCACATTTGTCACGACTTTGCAAAATCCGTTAAACACTTCTTTTTGGTGTTCCACTTCTAAAGATTGTGTAGTGCATCTACATGCTGAAAGACTGTCATTAGTGTCTACATGTCCTGTAGATGTATATTGTGTCTACATGTCCTGATAGACTGTCATATTGTGGTCTACATGTCCTGATAGACTGTCATATTGTGGTCTACATGTCCTGATAGACTGTCATATTGTGGTCTACAGTTCTGATAGATGATCTATTGTGTCTACTGTTCCTGATAGACGGATATTGTGGTCTACATGTCCTGAAGACTGTCATATTAGTGGTCTACATGTCCTGATAGACTGTCATATTAGTGGTCTACATGTCCTGATAGTGTATATTGTGGTTACATGATCCTGATAGACTGACAAAATTGGTCACATGTCCTGATAGACTGTCATAATTGGTCTACATCCTGATAACTGTCTATTGTGTCTACATGTCCTTGAAAGACTGTCTATGTGGTCTACATGTCCTGATAGACGGGCATATTGTGGTCTACATGTCCTGATAGACTGTCATATTGTGGTCTACATGTCCTGATAGACTGTCATATTGTGGTCTACATGTCCTGATAGACTGTCATATTGTGGTCTACATGTCCTGATAGTTAAAATCTTTCTTCTCCATTGTCGTATGAACCCTCACCTGCAACTACAACATGATGGTATCCTCTGTCAGTGTTAGAAGTGTGCAGTGTGTTTCAGGCTATATCTTACAGTATATCTGTGTTCTTTAACACCATCAGCCAAAGTTTTTATAGTGTGCCTATTGGAAAGCCAATCACATACACACAAGGTCTCAGTCTTAATTTTTTTTTTGACTGTGTTCTTAGAAGGTCTAAGAAATATACTACAAATCAAACACCACATACCTGTTTTAACACATTCCTTCGTTAAGCATATTCTTGACGTATCTGCAAAGAAAAAATAAGATTTTAAACGAAAATATTACTAATATATATCGTTACATTTCATCCTGAAATTCAAATTTACCAACACAAAAATATTATGTGAATTAATATATACATTTATCAAGTGGTTATATTTATATAGGTCCTATATATTATATACGGGAAATGAGATTATATAAATTTGTGGAGACTGTCAGTATACTTGGGCTGGAATTGCAGTAGAGTAAATGCGTTTATTCACAAATAGTGTCGTCACAATTAGAGAGGAAACGTTAGAAAGACTCCTGATCATCACTGACTGCTGTCAAGTGACAGCTGTGGCTTGATAATTACTTTAGACAGCAGTGAGTGTCGTGTGGCAAAAAAATATTCTCGTGTGACACAGGTTCAGTTTACACATTGTTTCAGTGTGCACAGAGTGAACATTGTTCACGCTGTGCACACTGAAACATACATAGTGTGTTCACACAGCATGTATTCTGTATCTTGGAGAGTTTGTGTATCTTTATTGTAGATGTTTCGCCATCCAGTGGCTTTATCAATACAAATTCAGTGATATAATGGGAAGACTGTAGAAGTATATAAGTGTACAAAATACGTGGTAATGAGTCCTTCAGTCCTGGAGTTGGTGATGAGCATTGTAGTCTTACAGACTCCGGTGCTCATCAACAACTCCAAGGCTGAGGGACTGATTATCTCGTCTTTTGTATATAATTCTACTGTCTTCCCTTTATGTCCTTGAATTTGTATTGATAAAAGCACTGTAGTGCGAAACATCTACAATAAAGATACCCAGATGTTACACATGTGTCTAATTCTTCATCTTGTCGGTATTGTGTACCATACATGTACATCCTGCATCTTCCTGTATCTTACATAATGACCTTATATATATCTTTTGTCTAGAGCGATCGACACTGAGAAAGCCAAAACTTCTTTGACTTAGCTTGTAACATTGAATAAGGCAATGTTATTTCTTTTAGAGTTTTTCAACATAAGTTTGTATGTTTCATACAGACTTAACAATGAATAATGTTAATGAGACAAACTGGGTACCGGAGGTATTTTACAATTAAGGAGAGTAAAGCACTACATGTTAGGGGGTAGTCAGGGCTAGTATTGTTTAGCTTTATATGAAGAGAATGTACACAAACAGTAATTTGTGAGAGTAATTAATTAATAGTACACACCAGTTGTGAGGTTCAGGAACTCTGACGAGCACACGGCCTGTCACAGCAGGAAGAGGAGATGAAAAGGATTAAATGATTAGGAGGAGAAGAGGGAGGAGACAAAAAATGAAGCGAGGGAGGAGATAGAAGAATACGAGGGCCTGCTAGGCTACCCCCTTTCATTCTCCCCCATCAGGAAGGAAAGAAGAGTGCCTGCGGCCGCAGGAGGAAGAGGCACAGTAGGTCAGGGGGAGGGGGATGCTTCCCCGAGAGCTGATACCTCCTCCCTTGGGACGCTCAAGTTAAAGGGGACCATCCCGGACCCCTATTTTCACGCCTTGTCCGCCGTGCGCCCTTACTTTGCGATCACCTGTACGGCTCTTAATCACTCCTACTGCGTCGCCTTCGTCAGTTGGTACCGTTGCTAACTAGAACTCCATGTAAGGGCAGATCTGCGCCAGTTGAATGTTCACTGGAGCAAGGTTAAATCCCATGACTGATATCCGTAGAGTTTTATTATGTATACTTGCCTGTGTTGTAATGTATGTGGTGATGTAGTTTATGTGGTGATGTAGTGTATGTGGTGAAGTGCGGTGGTGGTGGTGGTGGTTCAATGTGTGGTGGTGCGGTATGTGTTGATGGTGATGTAGTGTGTGGTGGTTGTGCAGTATGTGGTGGTAGTGATGTATGTGGTGGTGGTGATGTATGTGGTAGTGGTGCAGTGTGGTGGTGGTGGTGCAATGTTTGGTGGTGATGTATGTTGTGGTTGTCCATATGTGGTGGGAGTGATGTATGTGGCGGTGGTGCAGTGCGTGTGATGGTGCAGTGTGTGGTGGTGCAGTGTGTGGTGGTGCAGTATGTATGGTGGTGCAGTGTGTGGTGGTGCAGTGTGTGTGGTGCAGTGTGTGCGGTGGCGCAGTGTGTGTGGTGGGAGTATATGGTGGTGCAGTATGTGGTGCAACGTGTGGTGGTGCAGTATGTGGGAGTGATGTGGTGGTGATGCAGCGTGTGGTGGTGCAGCGTGTGGTGGTGCAGTGTGTGGGGTGGTGATATGGTGCAGTGTTTGTGGTGGTGCAGTATGTGGTGGTGCAGTATGTGGTGGTGCAGTGTTTGTGGTGGTGCAGTATGTGGTGGTGCAGTTTGTGGTGGTGCAGTGTTTGTGGTGGTGCAGTGTGTGGTAGTTGTGCAGTGTATGGTGGTGGTGCAGTGTGGTGGTGGTTGTGCAGTGTATGGTGGTTGTGTAGTGTATGGTGGTGGTGCAGTGTGTGGGGGTGGTGGTGCAATGTGTGGTGGTGGTGCAGTGTGTGGTGATGGTGGTGCAGTGTATGGTGATGATGGTGGTGCAGTGTGTGGTGGTGGTGGTGCAGTGTATGGTGATGGTGGTGTTGCAGTGTGGTGGTGGTACAGTGTGTGGTGGTGCAGTGTGTGGTGGTTCAGTGTGTGGTGGTACAGTGTGTGGTGCAATGTGTGGTGGTACAGTGTGTGGTGGTACAGTGTGTGGTGGTACAATGTGTGGTGGTACAGTGCGTGGTGGCACAATGTGTGATGGTACAGTGTGTGGTGGTGCATTGTGTGGTGGTGCAGTGTGTGGTGGTGCAGTGTGTGTTGGTGCAGTGTGTGGTGGTGCTTTGTGTGGTGGTGCATTGTGTGGTACAGTGTTTGGTGGTGCAGTGTGTGGTGGTACAGTTTGTGGTACAGTGTGTGGTGGTACAGTGTGTGGTGATGCAGTGTGTGGTACAGTGTGTGGTGGTAATGTGTGGTGGTGCAGTGTGTGGTGGTACAGTGTGTGTTGGTACAGTGTGTGGTACAGCGTGTGGTAGTACAGTGTGTGGTGGTGCAGTGTGTGGTACAGTGTGTGATGGTACAGTGTGTGGTGGTGCAGTGTGTGGTGGTACAGTGTGTGGTGGTACAGTGTGTGGTACAGTGTGTGGTGGTACAGTGTGTGGTACAGTGTGTGGTGGTACAGTGTGTGGTGGTGCAGTGTGTGGTACAGTGTGGTACAGTGTGTGGTGGTACAGTGTGTGGTGATGCAGTGTGTGGTACAGTGTGGTGGTAGTGTGTGGTGGTGCAGTGTGTGGTGGTACAGTGTGTGGTGGTGGTGTGTGGTGGTACAGTGTGTGGTACAGTGTGTGGTGGTAGTGTGTGGTGGTGGTGTGTGGTGGTACAGTGTGTGGTGGTACAGTGTGTGGTACAGTGTGTGGTGGTACAGTGTGTGGTAGTGCAGTGTGTGGTACAGTGTGTGGTGGTACAGTGTGGTACAGTTTGTGGTGGTACAGTGTGTGGTGGTGGTGTGGTACATGTGTGTGGTGGTAGTGTGCTGGTGGTAGTGTCTGGTGGTAGTTGTGGTGGTACAGTGTGTGGTGGTACAGTGTGTGGTACAGTGTCTGGTGGTACAGTGTGTGGTGGTGCAGTGTGTGGTACAGTGTGTGGTGGTGCAGTGTGTGGTACAGTGTGTGGTGGTACAGTGTGTGGTGGTGCAGTGTGTGGTGGTACAGTGTGGTGGTACAGTGTATGGTACAGTGTGTGGTGGTACAGTGTGTGGTGGTGCAGTGTGTGGTACAGTGTGTGGTGGTACAGTGTGTGGTGGTGCAGTGTGTGGTACAGTGTGTGGTGGTACAGTGTGTGGTGGTAGTGTCTGGTGGTAGAGTGTGTGGTGGTACAGTGTGTGGTGGTACAGTGTGTGGTAGTGTGTGGTGGTACAGTGTGTGGTACAGTGTGTGAGTGTGTGGTGGTACAGTTGTGGCTGGTGGTAGTGTGTGGTGGTACAGTGTGTGGTACAGTGTGTGGTGGTCAGTGTGGTAGTGTGTGGTGGTACAGTGTCTGGTAAGTGTGTAGAGTGGTACAGTGTGTGGTAAGTGTGTGGTAGTGTGTGGTGGTACAGTGTGTGGTACAAAGTGTGGTGGTACAGTGTCTGGTGGTAGAGTGTGTGGTGGTACAGTGTCTGGTGGTAGAGTGTGTGGTGGGACAGTGTGGTACAGTGTGGTGGTACAGTGTGTGGTGGCGCAGTGTGGTAGTGTGTGGTGGTACAATGTGGGTGTGTCGTGGTAAGTGTGTGGTAGTGTGTAGTGTGTGGTGGTACAGTGTCTGGTGGTAGAGTGTGTGGTGGTACAGTGTGTGGTACAGTGTGGTGGTACAGTGTGTGGTGGGCAGTGTGGTAGTGTGTGGTGGTACAATGTGTGGTGGTACATGTAGTGTACATTTGACTAGTACAGTGTTTGGTAGTGTGTAGTGTGTGTGACAATGTTGGTACTCTGTGGTACATGTGTGAGTACATTATTGTGTGGTACATGTTGTACGATGTGTGGTGGTAAGTGGTGTGGTGTACAATTGAAGTTTGGAATGGCTAGCAGTTTGTGTGAATGTGTTGACAATGTGTGCTACAGTAGGGGTACAGTGGGAGGGAAGTGGGAAGTGTATGGTGGTACAAAGTGGTGGCTACTAGTCCCTGACCAGATACTTCATTAACTTGCCTAACCTGAGAATCTACTCTTGGGGTTCTGAAGGAAGGTCAATGCTCTGGCTACATACCTTAGACTTCTCGAAGATACATGTAATTTAATATAGTATTATATATACGTATGTCGTGCCGAATAGGTAAAACTTGCGATTTTGGCTTAAATAGCAACGCTCTTCTTGCCGAATAAGGCTAGCAAAAATTTGTGTATGCAATAATTTTGCAAAAATCATTCTAAACCTAACGAAGAGAGAGAGAGAGGGAGAGGGAAAGAGGAAGGACGAGAGGGATGCAAGAGGGTGCCTGCAGCTAGTACCCTGACCTAGATACTTCTTTCTCTGCTCCTCACCCCCTGAGCCTCACCCTCCTCTCTCTGGGGG